CGGGCACGTGAGCGCCGTCGGCGTGTAGTAGTAGAGCGTCCGCTTGTTGTTGACGCAGGCGCTAAAGCCATAGCTCATGGTCGGCTCGCTGCTTTGCGCGGCGAGGGCTGCGCCGGCGACGGCGGCCACGAGCACACGTCGGCCCATCACAACCTTGTTGAAACCTCTGCGCAAGGGAGCGAGAAATTTAATACCATTTTTATTTATTCTGTGTTTTTGTATGGTAATAGAAAGAAGCTAGGGCCGCTTTTTCAACGGCAAATCGCGATTTGTCGAAATTTACCAAGATTCGTCCAAACGCTGTTTTGGATCCAGCATTCTACCTCGTGCCAGCTGCAATACACGAAAGGGCTTGAGGAGTTTGATTCACGTTTGTGCAGGTGAGCGCCTCCATCGCTATGTAAGAGTAGAGGATGGAGGCTGCATGCTGGTGGCGGTGCGTCTGAACTCGGCGCAGTACATTTGCTGTTGAACAGTCCTGTACACATTGCATCTTAACTTGAAGCTTTTCGCAAAGTGCATTCGGGCTATGGATTACAGTTTGCTCGAGAAACTGCCACGTCATTGCAAGCAAAATCCAGGTAGGTCAGAAAGCCCTGGTGTGTCCACCGACCCAAAAGTTTAGACGTGCTCGGGACACGAGATGGAGCCGTATCTCAGGGCGCCCGTCTTGCAGAGCGTGTGGAAGCTCGCGCTCGTCTTCGCCGCCTGCGTTGGCTTCACCTACATGATGTTCATGCGCCTCCTTGCGATGGAGCCGCAGCTAGCCTCGGCGCTCAACTGGAGCCTCAGCTTCGAGGACATGCAGCGACGTCAACGACGCGCTGCACCGAGCCATGGCCGACGAGTTCTACCTCTCGCTCGCATGCTTTTCGTGCGTCTACTTTATCAAGCAAACGTTCGCTATTCCGGGCTCGGTCGTCTTGAACCTCCTCGCGGGCGTCTTGCTGCCGCTCCACGTGACCTTCCCTGTCGTCTGCATTTTGACCATGGCACCCTCTTATGATTTTATCTGCATTGGCAAATGAACCCATGGCACTCTTGCTAGTGTGGCGCTAGCTGCTGCTACTTGCTGTCCGCGTGAGCGCTTTGTCGCCGAGACCGAATACCTCTTGCCTAGGAAGTTGGACGTGCTCCAGGCCACGAGCACGCAGGCCCAGGTCGAGAACCGCCTCTTCTTTGTATTGCTTTTCCTGCGCACCTTTCCCTTCTCGCCGAATTGGCTCCTCAACATTGCCAGTCCGTACTTGTGCATTCCGATGCACCTCTTTGCTCCTGCATCGTTTCTCGGGCCCATGCCATACAACTTTGTCACGGTCAAGGCGGGCTCGATGCTGGTGCAGCTCACGAGCGTGCGCGATATTCTCGACACGCAGACGCTCCTTGGGTTCCTCGCGCTGACGTCGGCAATGCTGATTCCAGCGATGGTCAAGAAGCGCGCTGGCGCCAAGAAAAACAACCGATAACCATCAGAAGAAGAAAATATTGTTGTGCGGAAAACCGATAAAGACGAACGGAACGGTCTCAAAAAGGCGCGTCCTCCATTTCTCTAGGTGCGATCTCCGGTGCAAATCGAGGTCGAGGTGGACACTGAAAATCTTGACCTCTCCAGCGCTCGGCCTCCTTAAAGAAAACGCTAGTACTAGTAGTACTTGTTCAAGGCCGGGAGATGAGGGGGAGCGTTGGTAGTGATGTATGCTTCGATGGTCGTTGTCTGTCACTCCTCTCTTTATGAGGCTTTGCGCTGCCCTTGTGGCAGCTAGCCGAAGGTTTCGCAAGAAGCCGATGTGAATTTGTCTGTCGCTCCTCTCATATATATATATGAACGTGTTCCGCGTTATCTTTCGTATATTAGGGCTCCCGGCGTGGGAGGGTTAAAAAGACTTTGCATACGTACGCCTGGGATCTTCTCTTATATGCTGCAAAAAGCAATAAAAGGACAGGCACCGGACAGTTGGGCTGCGCCCAACCAGAAGGAGTGTTTGTTTCTTCATAACCAGGAGGGTTGCTGCAAAGTGCCTTACCCTTGAAAAAACGGACAGGTACTACTCAGTATTTGGAACACGCTTCGATCCTTGACGAACGCATGCTTTTTCGCACAAGTGATTCAACAAAGTCAAATGCATATCGATACCGAGTAAGAATCGCATCATTCTATTGTCTCGTTCGAGTCGAGCACTGACCAATTTTACGCGCTCATTTTACTGCGCTTTCTTCGTCATTCATGGATAGACGACTGCATGTGGAGCGTCAATCGTTCGACATCCGGATAAAAGCGCATAAAACCGGAATCACCTCGCCGACACGGTGGCCGGCGCGCAATGCTGGCACGTCCTCACGCATCTCGTAGAAGATGGTGCTGTGGCGCCTTCTGTGCATGCTCGTTGCCGCCAGTGCTGCGCCCACTGCCAACAAGCATTCGACGTACAACCTCCCTCGCCATGCTCCTCTCATCATGGCGCATGCTTAGCGCCTGCTCGCGCGAGCTCAGCCGCGAGGCCATGCATCTTCTCGAGCAGGTGATCTTTCAACTGCCAACCTGATGTGCTTATGCAAAGCATTAGCACGTCTATCGGCCCGCGCAGCAGCTTAGCTATACGATGCCGCCGCCCGAGACATGTCCGTTGGCGACGGACCAAGTGCTCTTCTTGGACCACGTCTGCATTTTGCCGGCCATAGCAGCACGTAACCATGAACTATTAGGAGGCACACAAGTACCGCGTGCACGCCAACCGCTGGAAGTGCGGGTACTGCGGCAAGCAATTCCGTGGTGAGCCCTTCGTAGACCAGCACATGGACGCCAAGCACACGGCCGAGGTTATCGCGCATGAGAATACATCGTCCCTTCAACCATCCACGGTTGCTCTAGGACGACCATGGTTTATGTTTGGCCGACTTTTGCGGTATTCTCAACTGCCCGTCGGCCCGCGCGCAGGCCCGGCACGCCAAGTGCAGCCACAATACAGTGTTTCGTCTGCGCCAGCAGTGCAAGGTCCGCATTCCGCTGGATCAAAGCTCACGTGGAGTTCAATGCTAGACACTCTTTCAAGCATGCTTCCCGTACGAAGCTCCGTCTGTCAACACGATGCGGCGGTCCGAGCCGGCGTCCAACGTGCTTTTTGGTGATTTTGGAAAGACGTGAATGGGGATTGACATGGTGGCTGTAGAGTATGTGCGCGAAAACGTCTGCGAGGCCATCACGTGCGAAGGAAGCTACGACGACGACGACGACACGTCGAGTCCGGTGCCGTCGCATGGATCTATTTGCCCGTGGCGATCTACCCTAACCCTTGTAGTTTTTCGCCGGCGTTATCATTGTGCTCAAGGTGCTTGGCATGCTCACGCTCGTTGTCGCGTGCGTTCTTGTCCTGGATCGGTACGGTCTCCCTTCTGTCTGCGATGTCAGCAATGTCTTTAGGCCCGTCCGCACCAAGCGGCATCGACGTCACTAATACCTGTGGTTGTAGTTTACTCTATAACATGATTACCCAAACTTCATGGCCACTTCGGCCAGCGACATGGTCTTCTTCTTGTTCTTCTTGGACGCCTTGGTGGCACTGTGTTCCGGCGTCGTCGCCTTCTCGCCCCACTGCCCCGACGCGCCGACGTTGCCGTTGCGGCCCAAGTGCACAGGCTGCACGCCAATCGCTGGACCGGCCTTGGGCAGGT